ATTAACACCCAGCTTATCTGACTACTACAGTGAACACCAGGCTGTCGGCTCCGTTAACACGCAATGGATGGAAAACACATTCCAGCAGCAGACGTACAGCTGAAAGGCATCAGCTGTATGGGCTGTTTATCTCCCAGTTTATCAGCCTCGCGCTTGTTATTCCACCAAATAATGATCCATGTGCTCTGGTATGTGGGTTAAATATACGATCCTGTCCATTTGCTCAAACAAATGCCTGCAGGAATTATGTCTGCACAAGAGAAGCATGTAGGGTAATGTAAGGATTTAGTATATTGTGAAAAAAATGTTGGAATAATAACACAAAATAGAGCAAAAATACTAAGAGCATCTTTAACATTTTAATAAGGAACAGAAAATTTTTCTTTGTTAAAAAAAAAAAAAAGTTCTGCAGTGTTTAATAAACATTTATGCTTACTATAATTACTCATTTTACTTATTTATTTATTTGTTGTTTTGTTTATTTCATTTAATTATTGCTGAAGTTTAAAACAATGTGTGGATCATGTATCATAGTCACTTTTTTTACATTATGAAGTTTATTAAAGCTATTGCTTTTTATTTGCAGACTATCATCAATTAGAATCACATATGTTTTGTCATTAGATCTTATCAAGAAATCTGATAATTTATTTTCATATATATACACCTAAAAACAATAAAGAAGCCATCAGTCAAAAATAATTTGAAAGATCATTGTAGTTTAAACTGAACTGTTTTCTTTATAGCAGCTATGGCTGCTAAACTTGCCATGACATTTTGGGCTAATGCTAAGGATGCTAATATAAGAAATGCTATTGTTGTTTTGTGTAAACTTAAACCCAATGTATGATTATCCCAGTCATAATAACATTCTAAAATAAATATTTTGTTATTACAATAACAATACAATACAATACAATAATATAAAATAATCATTTAATACATTATCTATCTAGCTAACACAGAACAGTTAGCATGTAAATGCGAGCTAATTTAGAGCTAATTTGAAGAAATCTGACAGAAACATGTTCTTTATTGTTCCCTTTTAACTTCAATTTCAAAAGAAAAACTTAATAATCATCTCAAATTATATACTTGTTAGTGAATTGGATTAAAACTGAACCGTCAAAAGTAAATTGGAAATTAATATATGGTTGGAGCTCAGATGCCGATTTTAAAGAGGTAAATTCCTAAAAATGTATTTGTTGTTGAATAGTTGCCCAGACAAATTAGATGAACTACAAATAATAATAAGATGACATAAAATATTTTAGCAATAATTCAATTTAGATATTAATTGAATTAGATTTAAAAAAAAAAGAAACAAGTACAGAAAAGAATAACAGCAATAATAATTTTTATTCAGAGGGCACTTTATTATTTGCGGGAAATCTATAAGTGCTACAGTAACAGAAGTTCAAAAATAAACTTTGTAAATAATAAATGATAATGGTTATAAATAAATAAATAATAATACTGAATTGCAATGGGAACCCAAGAATTTCAGTAAGAAGATAAATTCATACCAGTTTAGAACTAATGGACAAAATGCATTTAAGTGTAATATAAGAAAATATAAAATGACTCCAGCAGTGCTACTTAAAATCTTTAGATGATCATTTTGCAACTCTTAAAGCTCTGATTCAGTCAGGAAGGCTCACCTGCAACCAATCTTCTCATTATATATAGAATTTAAAGTCCTCCTTCTCACATATAAAGAATTAAACGGTCAAGCTCCATCTTATATCAGAGATCTGATTGTTCCTTATGTTCCTAACAGAGCACTTCACTCTCAATCTGCAGGTTTACTAGTGGTTCCTAGAATTTCTAAAAATAGAATGGGAGGCAGATCTTTTAGTTATCAGGCTCCTCTCCTGTGGAGCGAACTAAAATGTTCAGTCCGTCAGGCAGACACCCTGTCTACTTTTAAGGCAAGGCTTAAATCTTTCCTTTTTGATAAAGCTTATAGCTGGAGTGGCTCAGGTTATCCTGAGCCATCTCTATAGTTATGCTGCTATAGGTTTAGACTACTGGAGGACATAGCAACCCCTTTTTTCATCATTCTGTCTCTAATTTCCCACTCTGCAATGTGTTGGTTCTCTAACGCTATGCTCTCTCGGCTTTTTCTCATAGTAACTTCATCTGATCCTGTTTTGGCTGTGACACCATCTTGGAGATAAATATTAGCTGTGGCGCACCCATCAACACCTTTGTTTATAGATGCTGGAGCTAGGCATGTTTTTTTGTGTAGTCCTGTTTCTCTGACTTTGACTAACTGTATGTACTCTCTTCCATCCTCTGACATGGGAGCTGGCTCAGAGCTTCTCTGTCTGGCTGTGCGTGTCCTGGATGGGGCGGCCTGTGGAGCTGGTTTACAGCTGCCTTTTGTATCTCTGCTTCTGTCCCCTTGAACCCCAGTCGGCCTCGGCAGATGGCCGCTCATACTGAGTCTGGTTCTGCTGGAGGTTTCTACCTGTTAAAAGGGATTTTTCCTCTCCACTGTCACTGCAAGCATGCTTAGTGTGAGGGGTTGCCTTTAACTCAATGAGTTGATGCAATCAGCATGTTTTCCTTGGACAAAAAGCTGAACCAATCTGACGATTTGATCTGGTTGAATTGCCTCTGTAAAGTGCCTTGAGATGACATGGTTGTGAATTGGTGCTATACAAATAAACTGAATCGGATTATGAGCTTCTGCTCCTGCCAATCAGTTAATTATAAGCCAGTTACCATCCAGGAATCATTGCTTTTTACTAAGCAGCATCCCTTCTCTGCCCTTCACCACCTTCATCTCAGTGGACTTTGTACAGCTCTCCTCCTCCTCAAGCCCCCATCAAACCACCAATGTTAGACTCCAGGGGGGGAAGGTCACTTCATGTCAATAAAACTGTCTAATTATGATTTTTTTTTTCAGAGTAAGTCTCTCCTGCCTGAAATGTATTTGCAAAGAAAAACTACATTTAAGCTTGAAATGCAGTTGCTTAATATGCAGCTAAATTCCTCAGAGGTTTTGGTCCATTTTGAAATGACAGCATCACACAGTTGATAGATTTGTTTTGATTCACATCCATGAGAAAAACCTGCAGTTTTACTGCATCCCATATGACCCTTTATTGGACTGAGATCCAGTGACTGTTGAGACCACTGGAGTTCAGCTCAATAAATTAATCTGAGATTATCTCAGCTTAGTGACACGCTGCTGGAAGCAGCTGTCAGAAGATGATATTGTTTGGTCATAAAGGGAAGGATATGGTCACCCGATATGCTCAGGTAGGCTGTGATGTTTCAATGAGCCAGTCAAAAAATATCTCAACACAACAACAACAGCCCTACCCTGAACTGTTCATGATGAATACAACGGAAATTAAGAGCAGGAAACAATTTTATGACTTTGTATTGCCTTTAGAGTTGGAGCCTGTATGAACTGTAGTCCAAGTTTCCTGTTCTCAGTTCATTTGCTGCTGTAGCTCATCTGCTTCAGGATTGTAGTTTTCCCCCCTTCAGTTTTACCTTCAGATCTATATAAAAGCTGCTGCTTTATTATGCAGTGAAATTTATTACATTAACCCTCTATAGGGCAGGTTTTTGTTCATTTGCATAATCTATTTAAATTGGCCACAGCCATTCAGCAAAGATACTACTACATGGCATTATATGTCACTTTGGGATTGAACCAATCAGATGAGTCCTTTACTGATATGTTACCTCCTGTAAATAAAGCTGGGGGAAAAAGTTTAAAAGCTAAGATTAAAAATGTAATCCTATACATCAGCTGTAACAGATTATGGCAAGTGACCCTTGTTATTACATTGACCTTGGTTTTTGCCACCAAAGTTGAAATTTTTTTAAATGTTACAAAGGTAATGATTCCAATAACTTCCAATAACAATCTTAGTTGAATTTTTTGATTTTCAAAGTATTTCACTAGGTGCCCTATAAAGGGTTAAAGAACACATTTGGTTTTTATTTTTCAATTTTGTTTTTACAGATTTTATATTTTCAATGATATTTTTCAAATGTTCTCTTTATCAGATTGGGTTTTATGACCAGTAAAAAATGTTGCTTCATGCACACAAACAGAAATGCATTTTCACTGGGGCGGCAGTGGCGTTGGATGTAGGAGTTTGCCCTGAAATCGAAAGGTTGACGGTTCAAGCCCCGACTCCGACTTTCAGTGTCGTTGTGTCCTTTGGCAAGACACTTCACCTGCATTGTCTACTGATGATGCTCAGAGGGCCCGGCGGCTGCCACTGTACGGCAGCCCCTTTCAGTGAGCCCCAGGGCAGCTGTGGCTACAATGTAGCTTGCCACCGTGAGTGTGTGCATGAATGGGTGAATGAATGTAGTGTAAAGCTAACTTGAACAAAAGCGCTATATAAGTACATGCCATTTACCTCCTCACACCAGAGGGATGCAAAACCTCCAGAAGTAAAGACAATGTGATCTGGAAAACACTATTTGAAAAGAATGGGATTTATAAAACTCAATCTAAAAAAAATAGAATTTTTAAGTTGTTTTTTTTTTAACAAATATGAAAAATACCAAAAATGAACTAAAATCAGAAGAAAACAGAATGTAAACACGTTTTTTTTTCCTATCAAAAGAAATTCTGCAAAACGTGTTGTTTACTTGCAACAATAATGGAACAGAATTCCCTCCATACTTCATCAGCTAATGCCCTGCCCATTCTTCTTTCGAAAGCGATTATCTATTCTATTCCAACTCTGATAACAAATGTTTTCTTTCTCTAGATGCCTGGTAGGTCCTGGCAGATCAGCAATTTCCTAAATATTCAGAGCAGTCCGTCTGTCACCAACAACACCTGCGAAGCTCACCTAAATCCACTTTGATGGATTACATATGAATGGAAATCTGTTACCAGTGCTAAAGACCACAGGCGTGTCTTTTAAAGTGGCCGACAGAACACAATGGGACACGTTAGGAGTTCAGTGCTTCCCAGATTAATGGAAATCATTTTCCTATAAAAAAAGGAAACTGACCTTTGGGAGCAGATAGGTGGAGGCTGTACCTGCCCCTCTGATTGGGAAAAGTCTTCATGCTGGTTTTTATTGAAGAGGATGTAGAGTTGTATGAAGAGGTCAAAGTATGTAGCTTCCTCTTCTCTCTGGTTATATGCTTTATCAACAGGGCGGCCATGTTGCCTCCTCTTCCTCCTTGCGATAAAGTGTTCCTCAGCAGGACAGACTGGGCCTCCCTCAAACTGACACACATAAAATAGGTATTTATTAGGTGCTGCATACAGTCAAATAAGACATATAGACTGTGTCATACACAAAAAGCAAAACAATTTTTTTAACAGAAAAATACAACATTATCATTTATATTTTTATAAATACATCTTTACACAGAGTGAAGTGTCTCTAAAGACCTTGTTGATAGATGGTTGATGGTTATGGCTTAAAGACAATGAAAGCAACACAAATAAAGCAACATTAACCAGAGAAAGTTGAGTGGAGGGAAAACCATGAGGCCTAACTGAGGCCTATAGAGAAAAATCCCTGCTTAGAAAAATCCCATTAAGAATGGGGGGGGGGGATTCACAAAGCGTGCTCTTAAACAGAACTGGACTGTTGTACAGTAGTCCAAATTTCTCTTGTTGAAAGTAAAAGCTGTATTTTGTTTTAAAACAAATGTGAAGAGTGGAGAGGCTATGCTGGTGAAGATTCTCAGTAATTCAGGTTATAGTCATTATACTCATAGCAGGAGGTGGATCCCTTCCTGCCATCATTGCAACCCCAAGACCTGGCCTGTTTAGGCAGGCCAGCAATTCCCTTTAACAACCCCCTTTCAGAGACATAGACAGGTCTGGGGCATTGCAGGCTAACAGAAGAAGCCAAGCAACCCACATTCCAAAGGGGTGGACCCCTTAATCCATTTCAATTTGTAGGTTTTCTAAACAGAAACAAGGCTTTATTGGGCTGCTATAAAACTTCGAAATGAATGCCATTTCTGACATTTTGAATAGAAAAGGCTGCGTAGCGAAACGTCTTCAAACTTGGAAACAAAGTCCAGTGGATGTTTTTTAACATTTCTGGATTTGAGAGGCTATAATCCAGGTTTGTTCAAAATCCAGAGGGAAATCTCCACAGTCAGTGAGGGTCTGTCTGTCAGGGTTCGGTTGTGGTTTGAGGACCCAAATGCAGAGGCAGAGTTGAGTTTCTTTTAGATTTAATGATTGGTTCATAAAAAACAGAGGCAGGAATTTAAAAAAAATCAAAAAAATCCAACAAGAAAAAAATAAAAACAAACCAGAACCACAGAGACTTCAGGGGAAAACGGTCACAACGAGGTAAGACAGTAAGACGGAGTTAGATGAGAAACCAGCACTGAGGAACTGCACAAGGAGAGTATTTATGGCTAACTGAACAAATAGAGGACTAACGAGCAGATTGGGAGCAGGTGTGAAGAGAGCAGTATAGAAAGGAGCTAGGGGAAAAGGAGACCAACACAAGATGGGCAACAAATAAAAACCTGAGAACTGAAATATAACCAGAAAACACAACAAAATAGGAATTAAACCAATAAAACTAGAAAACATGGAGCAAAGTTAAACTGAATACTCAAAAGAAAACATAACAGAATCAAGACTGTGACTTTGTCGTGCTGTGCTAGCAGCTGGTTCCGGTCCACTGGGTTTTCTAAAGTCCGCAGTTAAACCAGCGATTCAGTTCTCTTCAAACATTCCTCGTTGATCCAAAAGGAAAATGCAAAGTTTTCGTAACTCTTTTTCAGAGAGTTGTTGTAAATGTTAACGGCTGTAGGCTACAGGATCTCCTGTAGCGGTCTGTCCTACGGCAAGTCTAGAGAAGCCTCTGACTGAAGACGATCTGTTTTTGCACAACAGTCTGATCAAAACAGGACATTCTAGAACAGGACCTCTTAAAGTCGGGGTCAAGTGACCCCACTGGCCGATCGCAAGATGGTTTTAACAACCATGAAGATTTGATCCTCATGGTTAATCACATCATTGCATGGTGAAATATGTAAAGGTATTTATCCAAATAAACGTACCACAAAATAAGTGAATGTAACATTTATTAGTTAATTTAAAACATGATGCAAATATTAATACAATGAAATGATAGAATGTCCAATGAAATTATTAATTGCCCCAATCAAATAATTAAATAATAATTTCAATTATTTAAAAAACATTAAGTGATTACCTTTATAATAAATGCAATATTTATATATATCTAATACATGATTCAATTGATATAAACACCATGAAATTCTAAAATACCGTTAAGTAATCAAATGTCCCATTAAATAATAAAAATTTTAAATGATTAAATTTTTAATATTTTTATTTATTTATTTGTTTTTTACCCTTACATGATTCAAATATTAGATATACTATTAGATATACTGTAAAATGGTGAAATATATTAGATGACTAATAAAATGCCTGATTAAATAATCAAGATACATTTAAAATGTAAATACAATAATTAATATTTTAAATGCATGTATTTATCTATTTATTTATATTATGTTAAATAGTCTATTGATTATATATGTTTTTAAGGGGTCCCCAGTCTGGGGTGCTATTATTTTGGGGGTATCTGTTCTAGAACGCTACACGCTTCCTTTAGCGTTAAGCTTTTTGTAGACCCTGATTTCATTTCCCAGCAGAATTTGTTCATTTATGCAAAATGAGCCCAAGAAAAGTTTATCAGGGGAAAGGAAACATGTAATCTGATGTAATCTTCTAATATACTTTGCCTTGCAAAAGTACTTTTGCAACATTTCAGGCTTCAAACTTAAAGATATAATTTTTTTTTTGTGATGAATTAACAAAGGGGATATAATCGTGAAGTAAAAAAAAAAAAACGTATTTGGTATTTAAAATTTTTCTAAAAAAAATAAAAAAACCTTTTCTTTCAGTGCAGCAAAATGTCTCCAGACTGAAGATCTCTGACTGATCCAATGTTGACCTAAATGACTGATGATGATAAACAGAGGGACACAGCAAAGGTGGAAGAAGATGCTCTGGTCAGATACATTTTTTTTGGCAACAATTCAAAAAATTAGGTTTGGCGTGAAAGCAACACACCATCCGCACTGTCAAACATGGTGGCAGCATCATGGTTTGGGCCTGCTTTTCTTCCGCAGATACAGGGGAGATGGATGGAGCCAAACATAGGACTGTTCTGGAAGAAAACCTGCTGCGGTCTGCAAAAGACCTGAGACTGGAATTGAGATTTATCTTCCAAGAAGACAATGATCCAAAACATAAAATTTCTACAATGGAATGCTTCAAAACATATCCAGGTGTTAAAATGGCCTAGTCAAAGTCCAGACCTTAATCACATTGAGAATCTGTGCAAAGACCTGAAAACTGCTGTTCAGAAATGCTCTCTATCCTATCTCACTGACCTCAAGCTATTTTGCAGGAAGAATGGGCAACCATTGCAGTCTGTATGAACTCAAGCTTAGCTGTAAAATGGACCAAGTTTCTACAATGAAAATTAAAATGGAGCCGAGGCGGAAGTTCAACTGAAAAAAACGGATTAATTGCCTTCATTCGCCTACGACACAGCCAATCAGCTTTGAACCACGCCTCAACGAAAGCCAATCAACATCCAAAGTTCATCTTAAAAGGGCTCTGATCTGCAACTCATGTGCTACCCTGTGCGCAGGTGGTAGATGCGCTGTGTGACCTCATTCAGATGACCCCGTTTCAACCCACCTCCAGCCCCTCCTCCACCATCGTAGCAAAAACTTCATCAGAGTGTCATTCTTCCCGGACTCTTACTGCATTCCGTGTCTCATTTCAACCGGTCTGGCAGAAGACCGCCATGTTGAGCCTGGTTCTTCCAGAGGTTTCTTCCCAACGGGGAGTTTTTCCTCTCCACTGACGCTTCATGCTTGCTCATCAGCTTCTCTCAACCTGTGTTATCCAACTGCACTTCCATTTTCCAGGTCCCTGAGTGAAGCTCTAGTATCAGCTCACACAGTCAACTGGATCCCCCCATAAAGTTCAGCATACCGTCTCGCTAACCAGCAGTTTACAGACTGACCAACTTCATCTAAATGGTAAATGGGATGTACTTATATAGTGCCTTTATTCAAGTCAGGAGACTTGACCAAAGCGCTTTACACTACATTCATTTACCCATTCACGCACACACTCACACATTGATGGTGGCAAGCTACATTGTAGCCACAGCTGCCCTTGGGCTCACTGACAGAAGCGGGGCTGCCGTACACTGGCCCCACCGGGGGCCCTCTGACCACCATCAGTAGACAATGCAGGTGAAGTGTCTTGCCCAAGGACACAACAACACTGAAAGTCAGAGCCGGGGCTTGAACCGTCAATCCTTCGATTTCAGGGCAAACTCCTACATCAAACGCCACTGTCGCCCCACTCCACCACCAGTTTCAGGCCTGGGGGGGGGACAGTCCTATTCTTTGCTCCTGTCCATGCATATCTACCAAAAATTCAGCGCTATGTTTCCTACCGAGGTCCGAGCGCCAAAGACAAAGAATTATATCAATACATTTCTTCTAACTGCCTTTTCTCTCCCTGTTAGTTTTTCAGATTGAACTAAGCTGAGTTTCAGCTAAAACTCAGCTTAAACCTTGGGAAGGTTTGGAAAAAGACAAAGTTCAAAGAAAACCTCAGAATGGCCTTCCCTAAGCTTTAACAACTTGTATACTTTGGAAGTTGTTTTTCCCGTATTACATTAAGGACAGATTTACTCCCCAGAATTAATCTTGCTAAATTAAAATCCATTAAGTGAAGTTTAACAAGCATCAATATAAGCAGACAAAGCAAAAATAAGGTGCGATAACAAAATGAAGTAAGCTAGTCAAGCTAAACTAACAGAAGATTACCCAACTAAAGCTTCAATAAGATAGGCTGATTAAACAAATATCATTTGTAAGTTTCATTAACTTGGTTTACACTAGGAGTGTAAATCACATCCATCATGGCGATTCGATTCAGTATCGATTTCCTGACCCAACGATTCGATTATTTTCGATACTCAAGAATACACCACGATTCGATTCGATTAATTTGTTTTTTTTTATTATTTGTTTTTTTTTACACCTTACAGGCTAAACAAAGTTTCAAGTTTGAAATAAATCAATGAAAGCTGTAATATCATTATGCATTTTCTTTAGAAACAACAGCAAATAACAGAAGTAGAAAAGTTGCATCAAAAAATACTGCACAATATCAGTGTAATGAGTTCAATGCAATACCTCGGCTCCAGAGAAACTGTCCAACATATTTTTTTAGAATGTAATAAATATACTCAGGAAAGAGAGATGTTGCTTAGAGAGTTAGACAGGAATAAAAATAAACTAGATATAAGGGAATTGTTTCAAAGGTCATCTGGGGATGTAGTTTTTGGTAGTATTTTTAATTTTCTAAGGAGAACGGGTATTTTAGGGAGAATATAATAGTTTGTCTGGTCCATACTCCATTCTGGAAGGTGGCGGTAATGCACCTATAAGTTGTTTTCCAACCGCCATTAAAAAAAAAGAAGAAGAAGGCTCAAGAGTGTCGACATCACCGCCCCCTTGAGAGACGCTCCGCTGCACCTCTCCCAGATTGTAGCTGACCACAAACAGTGCACCAGACAGGAGGGCGGCTTGTTTTGTTTTTATGACCGAAATTGCGGAAAACAACTCGTGAAGTTTGACCCGCTAGAAGAGCGAGGTGCACGAGAACGCTGGGACCCTTTTTCCAGCTGAATCTCCGCTCTTTTTGGCCCTCATTTCCCTCCGTCGTCGGACTAAACTTGTCCCCACTTCCTCACCGCCTCGGCAGTATCTAGACCCACAGCGTGTAGCTCAGACCACGCTTCAATACTGAGCATAATTTAAAAATGTCTGTGTCAAGCTTGCTGCAACACACTGCTGTAAGAGTATAACCAGGAAGCGAGGTAGGAGGGCAAAATAGGTTTAGCGGCACCGCAGCACGGGAGGGAGAATTACGCCCAGGAGCAAATGGATAAAAATAGGAAAAATAGGGGAATAGGGGAAAAATAGGGGAAAAAAAACATGAATCGATTATCTTGCGGACGTGTCGATGCATCGGATCGTCGGCTTTTGGATCGATGCATTGATACAAAACGATTATTATTTACACCCCTAGTTTACACTAAAGGCCAATTTATGCTTCTGATTTATATCCTCTGCAACCGTCAAATCTTTCTCTGTGCGCGACCACGCCCCCCACACAGAGGTTCTGCAACCATCGTCGTGCACCTCAAAATAATCCTTACTACGCATCGGACGGTCGCAAACCCAAGCAGACCTCAAACAGAAGTGCACAGACAAAAAGAACCTGTGATTGGTCCTTGGTATGCCTTTCCGGCTGTCTATGTGGTCGTCCTTCTCGATTCAGTGCCGGGGCACGCCATTTTTAAAAACCGAGGAACAACTGCAAAGGACAACTACGACGAAAGGTTAATCCAGGAGGCTCGGAAGTACAACCACTTGTACGATGCCTCAGACAAATTATATAAATAAATATGTCCTCTTCGATGTCTAGCAACCCTAGGTCCATCTCCATGACCGTGATATCTTGCAGACGCGCCATTGTTGTTTTGGAAAATAAACACTCCAGCCGGCGCCACCGAAGTTCTCGTGACCATCCGCCGGAGTTCTCGCAAGTTCTCGAATAGGCTTCCCCTTGCACTTTGGCGGGAATCTGCTGTGTGTGCGGAAGCATACCAGCAAAAATGATTCGCGACCAGATCCAAGCGACATTTAATGTGTGCGGTTGCAGAAGTCCCTTTAGATAAATCAGACTGGGCTATAATAAAATAAACTACAATAAGGTCAACTACAGCTTAGCCAGTGCAGGATAAGCTAAAGCTAAAATAAGCTAAATCAGTCTCAAACTATGGCAACTAACGTAAAAAAAAAAAAAAAAATTCAGCTTAACAAAGATTATCATAAATTTAAAAAAAGTCATTAGTAAATGCAAGATAAACTCAAATAATAATGTTTTTTAGCATTGTGTTTTTTCCTAGTTTGAAACTTAGCATTTGCTGCCTTTTAAAATAACTTAGTAGAAAAGTGCAACAGAACTGAAACTACTAGGCTAACTAAATCTTTCACATTGGCTATAAAAACAGAGATACATTATCCTACAGTAAATTATTGCCGTTATTTTTTTTCTAAAACACCTATTTTGACCATTTTAAGACATTTATTTAGGAAACTGCTAATAGCACAATGTGTATGGAGCTAGTTAAAACGTTCTCCTCTGCTAAGTTGTCTGTTCTGTTTCTGGAAAAAATGTCCATCATCTGTTTGAATAATTCAGAGCTTTGAAAGTTTGAAAGCTTTTCCCCCTAGTATACTTTAAAAGTTTTTTTTTCCAAATTACATTAAGGACAGATTTCCTCCACAGAACTAATCTAGCTATTGGCTGCCATGGCCCTGACCTCTGACCTCTGACCTTCAACCCTGACCACTCAGTCACAGCCCAACGCTGACCATTGAAATCTAGTTTAATTCATCTACATATCAGACTCTATAATCCCCCTCAGTTCTCTGGAGACAAACAATCGGGTCTTTCTTTTCCTCTCTCTGAAGGAAAAGCAGGAAAAGAGGAAGGGGGTGTTTGACACTGAACTATGAACCATTCTGCCTTAGAAAGGAAAACAAGAAACTTTACATCATTTTAAAATATGGTTTGATGTTATTAAATAGGTGAAAGTCTCCACCTGCTGTCTGAACATAAAACTACACAGAGATGTGAGAATATGAGAGAATAAAAGAAACATTTCAAGATTTGTAGCGCAAGTACTGAGAAAGATCATCACATACATTGGGGTGGGTAGGATGGGGGGTGGGGGGTTTTGCGAGGCCTAAAAGACACTTCAATTGAAATGGTGAACAGAATATAAAGACACACGGACATAGCACAATGTGTATAGACTCGGATTGAAGAGCCTAAAGGCCAATTTCTGCTTCTGACGCATAGCCTCTGCAACCGTCAAATCTGTCTCTGCGTGACCACGCCCCCTGCGCAGAGGTTCTGCAACCGTCGTCGCGCACCTCAAAAGAATCCTGACTAGGCATCGGACGGTCGCAAACTCACGCAGACCTCAAGCACAAGTGCTCAGACAGAAAGCAGCTGTGATTGGTCCATTTTTAAAAACCAAGGAACTACTACAATGAACAACAACGACGAAAGGTTAATCCAGGAGGTTCGGAAGTACAACCACCTGTACTATGCCTCACACAAATTATATAAAGATGCCAACTCCTGGAGGGATATCAGCCAGAACCTGTTCCTCTTCCATGTCTAGCAACTCCAGATCCATCTCCGTAACCGTGATATCTTGCAGACGCGCCATTGTTGTTTTGGAAGATAAGCCAAAGTTCTCGCGAGTTCTCGAATAGGCTCCCTCTTGCGCTTCGGCGGCAAACTGCTGTGCGTCCCTAGAAATTCCAGACCAACAGTGCAGAAGCATACCAGCAAAACTGGATGCCGACCAGACGCAAGTGACATTTGATGTGTGCAGTTGCAGAAGTCTAATCTGCCCTTAGGAGGAAACAAAGGAGAGACTCTTACCTCGGGACCTGCCTCTTCATCTCCTCTGCTCCTCCTTTTTTCTCATCTGGTCTCCTCTCTGAGGTTTCCGTCAGACCTTCATCTGTTTGAACTCCCAGACTTAATTTCAGCTCCAGCGATTTAGATCTTTGTGTCCTTTTTCCTTCATTACTTTGGGTCTTCAGCTCCAGAACATCTTGTTCCTCAACAGTTTTTTGCCTCTCTGGATCTGTCCTTATCAGACCCACGCTTCCTGGAGTGGTTCGGTTCTCTATTGGTGTCAGAATCATTTTGGTAACCCCTCCTGGATCTGCTCCTTGACTTTCAAATTCCAAACTTCCATTCTTCAGAGGAGCAAAGTTTCCATTGTTTGACGGCTTTCGATCAGAACATGTGTGTTCAGGTTGACCAGCTGGATGAGAGGATGTTCCTGGAGCGCCTCCCTCAGGACCTAAAATTCTGGTGAATTGGCAGCGGATGCCATGAAAACCTTTCCTGTACAGACAGCTGTTGGAAGTTCGACACAACGATCCATTACTGCAGGGTGGAGAACATCTGGCTGCAGAAAAAGAAAAGAGAGAATAACAAGTCGTTTTCAATGTGAGCAAATGCCAAGTACAGCAGTGGAGGGACTATGGTTTGGGCTTGTTTCGCCGCATGGGGAATCCTGCATACGTTTTGTGAATAGGTCCAGCAATGTTAACATGTGTAAATTGAAATGTTTGTTGCTCTGTAGGTATTTTTTTTACTTGTTTTGTTCCCCCCCCCCAAAAAAGTCAAAAACATGAGAAATTAGGGGCAGCAGCTCTACTGCAGGAAAGAAGGGGAGAAAATAACACCTAAAACTCTTTATGTTTCCCCCCATTTTAGAGGATCTGTTTCTTGAATTAAATGCTGGGGTGGGGTGGGGTGGTGGGTGGTTGGGAAGACAACAAACCAGGAAAAGTTGCACTGTTTATTACATGAAGTAAATATTGTGGATAAAGTGAATGTTTTGCTCACGCTTGATGCACATCCTGGTTTTATTCGACAGCCTCCAACCGAGACAACACAGACCTCCACAAACCCGAAGACTGCGGGAAGAAAGATTATTTTAGACATTTAAAAGAAGACAACTTTTCTTTTATTTAAAAATCTTTTGTTTTACCTAACGTCTGTGACTCTCAGGTTGGTAACAGTAAAAAAAACAATTAAAAACTTCCCCAAAATAAGCAAGACAAGTTTCTTTATAAAGCAAATCTCAGGACAATTCAAAGTGTGGTATAGCAAAAAGGAGGAAAAGTACATTGCAGTGGCATAAAGGTAATTAAATCATTCAAAAACACAAATAATGGGCTTATAAGTTAAGAAATAATGTTTAGATATTAGTCAGAGGCCTCTTTTATCTCAACTTAAAATCACTAAGATTTCAGAGTTTTTATAAGAATTTAATCCAGCTCAGTGGAGCATAAGAACAAAAAGCTGCTGCTCCATGTTTGGTTCTGGTTCCAGTTCTGCAGAGTGGATTTCATCCAGTAGACCAGAGAGCTCTGAGTGGTCAAACACTGAAAGCAAGTCTGTAATATGATTTGCAGCTAAGCCATTCAGTGATTTATAGACTAACAGACGGATTTCAAGGAGCCAGAAGGAGTTAGAACTGGCCTGATGTTCTCCAATTTCTTAGTTCTAGTGAGGATGCTGGCAGTAGCTTCCTGGATCAGCTGAAGCTGTCCGAACCACGTTTCAGGCAGAACTATGAAGACACTGCTGCAGGGATAAATTCTACTAACAATAAATATTCAATAATGTGGCTCAGACTGTGCTCTTGACCTGGAGAGCCAAATATTTTAAGAGAGTCAATTCAATTCAATTTGCACACAAATACTTTTTTACTATGTAATAAAAAGGTATTTTTATATATAGATATATATACACTGTGTGTGTGTATATATATATATATATATATATATATATATATATATATATATATATATATATAATGTGGGGTTCTCTCCAGGTACAGCATGTGAATGGTTGTTTGTCCTATTTGTCCCTGTGTTGCCCTACGATGGATGGGTGATCTGTCCAGGGTGGACCCCGCCTCTCGCCCGCAGACAGCTAGAGATTGGCACCAGCAACCCCGCTTGGGATAAACGTCATTGAAATTGGACAGATGGATATATATAGATATCCACCTCAATCACCACATAACAGCACTTTGTAGGGTTCTCACAAAAATGTCAAAATATTGATACCTGGGGAAATATTTCATACCATTTTCAGTACCATGGGAATAAAAGAAAAAAAAAATCGCCAAATAATCACGAAAAGACCTGTCCTGTCCCTTTCCTTCTTGTAAGTAAATATTGCTTTGCTGGAGTACAAACAATGGCTGGGAGATGACTTGAATTTTTTGTCTATGAAGATTTAATTCATTTATTTCACAATCAAAACATGCTACTTAAACCAGAGCATGTTTTGTCTTAATTTTCCTCAGCTTAGCATTAATCAGTGAGGCCGATGCTGGGTTCAGCTTTGAGTGTAGAACTGGCCTCGCTGCAAAGGATTTAAACATTACTCACAGTGTACTGGTTGTATTGAGGCGAAGGAGGCCCCGCCAACTGTATCCAAACAGAACACAGTCACACACCGCTGCTGGTCTGAACCCTCAAACACAGACATTCTAGGCTGTTTGAAACAACGAAAATAAGCTCCTCACAAGGTTTCTTTCGGTTCCCGTGATTAAATCTAAGGCTTTAGGATTACATGTCATTTACAGAATACAGCAAAGGCTTTTTCTTAATCTGCTAAAGTAATGCTCATGAATGAATAGAGAATTTATAGTTTTTAATCTGACTGAGGAGATAGAGAGACATCTCCTCTAACTTCTATTTATGTTCTGCAGTTCAAACAGCAGTTGATCACCCAGAGATGAATGGTAGGAAGCTGGAGATGAAACACGAGCATAACAGGCAGCTCTCTGTCTTCTCAACACTAGAGGAGGAGATGTGCTTTGAAGCTCAGACTGTTTGCAGAGCAGAGGAAGTGGACAGAAGCTTCACACAGCAGCTGGGAAACCTTTAAAGCAATATTCTGCTGCCTCCCTCAACTTTAAACCCATATTTATTACTCCAGTAGAGACAACTGTATGTTAGACCTGGAACTTTATTCCAATGGGTGTCAGTTGCTCCGTTTTGTTTACGCAACACTTTTGTTTTAAAGGGTTCTATTCAAAAGAACCAGAGGAGATTGCAAAATATGATAAAATGCTAAACAATTTTTAAACTTGTAAGTAAAACATACTAGCTGGGCTCAACCGAAAAACTGCTCGAACCTGAGATCAGATCAAATAAACTTTAGTTAAGATTTAAAACAAGATGAGGATAAATTTTACAAATAAATAATAAGGCTAAGCTATAAATGAAGTTAAGGCTAAACTAATAAAATAAGCCACAATGAGGCTAGGCTTAGATAGGAGTCACAAAGGTCACCATTAGATAATGTAATTAGGTTAACTAATGTACTTATTTCTATCCTTAAATCATTAAACTGTCAAGATTTGGTTTTAAGTTTTTTGTGAGGACCCAAAAGCAGAAGCTGAGAGGCAGGGGTGAGATCTTTGAAGGTTTAATCAATGATGACAGGCAGCCAAACAGTAATCCAAAAAACCAACATAAGAATTAAACACAAACCAGGATCATGGAGGCATCAGGGGAAACAATCATGAGGAGCCAGGGTAGGATGAAGTAAGATGGGGAATCAGCACAGAGGGACTGCAGAGGGAGTTTAATATGGCTGACTGAACAAAGGAAGGACTAACGAGATAATAAGGAGCAGGTGTGAGTAGAGCTGACGAGGAAGCCAAGGGAAAAGAAAACACAAGGGGGCGACAGAGGACAGACAAAGAAAAACCTAAGAAACTTAAATGAATCCAGACACAATAATAAAGCTAGAAAACAAGGAAAAACCTGGATGAACTTAAAACTGAAAACTTAGAGAAAAACCAACAGAACCAAGATCATTACATAAACATGGTGAACTGCATTGTATAAAATAATAATGACGAGTTTGCTCAGAGAATGGACGCTTTAACATTATTTCTGTTATATTGCATGCATATAACAGCAGAGTGTTTGTATTTTGTGTTGTTCTTTAGATTAAGCACTGAACCCAATAAAGGGACAATGACAAGCAAACATAAAACCAATAATGAAATAAATTATTTACAAATCTAAACCCAGGAAATTAGCTAGACTAAAAGGGCTAATCTGTGAAGAGGACACTATAGGTCCAAGGAATACAATCGGTTAAGATCAGACTCAATGACGTTAAGCCATTAAATGAGCAGATTAAGCTACAATGAAGCTACGCAGTAAAATAAGCGAAGATTAAAGTATTCCAAAAAAGGAAAATTAAAAACAATCCGCTGGACTTTGTTTCCAAGTTTGAAGACGTTTTGCTTCCCATCCAGGAAAAAGTCAGGAATAGCGTTTTGATGGGCTACTGTATAAAACCTCGAACTCAACGCTATTTCTGACATTGGCTCTCGCCCCTCTCTGTTTATTGTTGTTATTAAATTTCTCGAAACTTCCCACCGTCTCTCGCCTGAATACTCGGTCAATCTGCATGTTTTATGTTATTTTGTGAGTTATTTATCACGACACTCGTCTCCTCCATATAAAACGGTCAAATAACTCAAATGTTTTCATTGTTTCTACATGATCTGTCCTGGAACCATGTTCCATATCACCAGCTCATTGGTCTTCATCCAACCACAAACAGATCCTGATTAACATTTAATAAAATAATTACAGTACCAACCGTACTTATTACTATTTTTATCTATAAAAGTATACTGAGCGTCTTCAATGTTAATAGTGACTTTGTTAAGAGAAACAATCAGTTCATCCGTTCTGTTAAATCATCTGTCTGATGACATCACTGCACCTGCTGAGAGCAGCCCAGCAAAATGTGACTGCACTCTGTATTTTTGTTATCTCATTCTTTAGATTATGCACTATACACATTAAAAGCATACAGTAATGCAAAAATTACCTAAATAATTTACAAATGTTTAACTGAAAAATGCCCTGCCGGCATTCATGCTTCTGGAACACACTGGAAAAAATTGAAATCTAAATAAGTCGTTTTCTCTTAAAATAAGTCATTTGTTCTTGGATTGAGGAGGTAAAAGAGACATTTTGCCAAAGGAAAAAGATAATTTACATTTAAAATAAGAAAACACAATTGCATTGTCTTCAAGTGTATGTTAAAAATACTCATTCCATTGGCAAATCTCAAATCTCATTTGCCTACTCAAATTTAGGGTAAATACGCTTAATTTAAGGAATTTTTACTTATTTCTAGATAATTTTTCCAGTACAGATTGGGTAGAGACGCTCATGACCGGAGGGGAAAACTCTGCAAATAATGTCTTTTCTTTCAGCTTTCTAGGATTGAAGCAATGCAAAGGAGCAATCAAAGAGACTTTAAATGGTATGAGTGGCAGCTTTAAGATGAGTATACGTCTTAAACTGCAATCCTTAGTGAATTTTAAACATTTAAGATTGACCTG